GCTTTAAATTGTTTTTTATGTATAAAATATGTTATGTCCACTGTTTTTCGAGGAATAATGAATTTTTACAAGAATTGTTTTCTATTAATTATTAGAATAATTTATAAAGTTTCAAATCTTTTAAATTTTTGTATTAATTTGTACAGGTTAGGTGATATTGTTATTAATCTTACTTATTATAAAACGCAGATTGTGTGTGTGTGTGTGTGTATGTGTGTGTGTGTGTGTCTGTACGTTTATATATTGGATCGGATTTCCTACATTTTTCAACCGATTTCAACAAAACTTCACAGGACTGCGTAAAATTACCTTGCGGCGGTTCTGACAGCGCCAAAAATTGGATAAACACAATTGTTTTTGCACGAAATCAATTTGAAAACACGATTAAGAGGCATCGCGAGAATGAAAGGGGGACAACTCTTATCGAGTTATACTTATTATAAAACCCAGGTTGTTTGTGTGTGTGTGTTCGTTTATATATGTGATCGGATTTCCTACATTTTTCAACCGATTTCAACAAAACTTCACTTTTTTTTGGCAGGTAGTGTTTCTTATTGTCTTGCACACTTTTTTTCTTTATTTTTATATTCAGAATGCTTTAAAAATTCCATTTACATGACAATTGTTTGTAATAAAATTCTATTCAATCGGTAGACTCATAACGATTGAAAACAATGTTATTGTTTGAGTTTGGGTTTGACCAATTCGTAAAAACAAAACAAAACAAAACAAAACAAACAAAAAAAAAAGCACAAAAACTAATTAAGACATGCGTGTCTGTCAACATTAAACAATAATCTTTGTCAATTTTATTTTTCAGTCTTTATGATGGTCGATACTTGATCTATCTCTTACTGTAACATCCCCGGGCAACGCCGGGCTCTACTGCTAGTTAAAACTCTATTCATTAATCAAAAATTTCAAATCAGTGAATCCCTATATTTTAAAAAGAATTTTGAATTTTTTCTGTGTATAAACGTGACAATTTTTGTAAATACGGACGTTCATGCACAACATTATCAAAATATGAGAGTGATAATTATAGAAAATTTAAAGCCAAAGTAACTAAAATTCAATAAAACATTAGATTTCGGGGAATATTTTCTTAAATTTTAAAGATTACGGGGAAAATTGAAAATTATATAAAAAGTGCGCTCACGTTATGCTCGTTAAGTAAATTTTACAGATATGTCCCCCGTAGAAAAAAAAAATTGGATAAACTCTCGGTCAAGCGGGCGTCCCGGGTGAGACGATAAACTACATCCGTGTGAAAGGACTTTGATCAGAAGGTTTTGAGGTGCTTGGAACCACCTCTTAATTGCTGGTGTTCCCAGGTCCACTTTGACCCGGGGTGGTAGCACCTGTCAGGGTCTCGGCTATGGGGAAATAGTTAACTCCCCCCCCCACACAAAAAAGGGGTCAAAACACTATAAAAGTAATGAAATAGGTTTTAGTACTAGCAATACATTTTTGGAAAAAATTTTACCAGCAATACATTTAAAAAAAAAAAAATAATATTACCAGCAATAAAAAATCTTGTCGGTATTAAATAACCCATTGAGGTTGAGGAGGAGGCTTTCTCTTCTTCTTCCCCTTCCTCTCTTATCGAACTCTCTGTCCCTGGGCGGAGAGGAACCTAGACGAATCTATGCCAAAGGGCAGAGTCTCATTTGGGGAAGTAGACAAAACCGACCCTGTGTATACGGGGTCTGCGGGCATTTTTTGCCGGAGTCTACGGGTTCGGAAAGCCTCACGTTAAAAACTTGCCTTGTGCCACATCTTGCTGTGTGCGGAGGTTAGTAAATAGTGGGGGTTCATATGCCGTAAAACAAAACAAAAATCAGTCAAGCGGTCAACACCTTTAATAAGCATCAACCTCCGTGTTAAAAAAAAAAATGCATTTCTGTAATATCTTAAACTAAAGTAATATTTGTTTCAAATCAGATTAATTAAAATTCAAATCAGCTAATATTCCTCAAATAAAGTTTCGGGTAAGTCTGTTTTGTTTTTTAAGAAGATTTTTAACAAAGAGAATGTGTTGACAGGTTGCTAAAAATAGCATTAAAATTATCGATATTTAGTGATTTCAAAAAGGAAGAAAAGTTCTTCCAGTCAATTTAAATTCGTTTTGAAATTGGACAAGGTATTTTGATTATCTGAAATGAGTTATTGAAGCTTCCGGCGCGAATTCCAAGCAGTACAGGATGCCGTTTCCAAGTTTCTGGCGGAGGGGAATGTCTCATGATACTTTTATTCTCACAGGCAGTGCCCAACTGACTCTACTATACTGTACAGTCGACAAAAATGAAAAGAAACAACGCGCATGCGCGAAATTAAAAATATAAAATGGCGTCAATTTATTCATCAACTATTTATTCATAAATGGCAACAATTTATCTCTATCTGTAAACGGCAGGATGTGTGCGTGTTTCGACGGATTTGCACCAAAATTTACATGCACATACTCCAAGTTAGTGGGAAGACCAAGACCGACTCTGCATTTCCCAACGCACATCGATACTGGAAATAATCGATTTTTTCATGCTTCTACGGCAGTTTTCATGTAGTTTGCTGCCATTTTCTACTGGCCAGAGTGAGAGCCTATAGCTGGCTGCCACGAATAGGCAGGAAGATTCTATTGGCCAGCGTGAGAGCCAACAGCTGACTGACACGAATGTTAACTAGCATGCTAGCATGCAAAAAAAAAAAAAATAAATCGATAGCTGCATTCGTCACAAGTGGGAAAAATTTAAATTTGCATGGCACTTTACTCCAATTAGCTCATTCGCTTGCTTAAACTTAACGTTGATTCTGATTCCGCAGAACTGGGTTGGGTGTGAAAAAGTATTTATTGTTAACATTCTTTTTTCATTCGTTTTTTCCAGTTACGAGTCCTTTTTTTTAAAGCTGATCGTTTTGTGTTCATTTTGTTTAGTTCTTTTATCGTAATAGGTTTAATGTTTAGTATCAAGCTTAGAAAAAATTTGCAGTGTGAGATAGGCAAGAAGTAAGGCATGTAGCAACATCAGCACGGCAAAGGGCACTCCTTTAAAGGCAAGGAAGGGCAAAAATATTTTAAGTCAAGTGATAGCGATTGCTGTATGAGTCGTACGATTTTTTTGAATCAAGCACGGGCAACGCCGGCCCATGCTGCTAGTTCATTATATATATATATATATATATATATATATATATATATATATATATATATATTTCTGAGGTGAGGTATTATGCACATTATTTACATTATTCGATTAAAATCGATTAAATTTAATCTATCAGCTTGGAATTAAAACTTAAATAAAAGCTTCTTTAAGATCTTTCATCATAAAAATTAATTTTAAACCTTAGGCATCGATTTTTTCTTTATAATTCCAGAAAATTTCTTAATGCATTGTTGGTGGTTAGCCTCTCGTATACGAGTATGCCTGTCTACGAGGGCGCCTAGCCAATCCCTCCTGCCGACGCCTGCTTAGGGACATTTGTGTTTGTTCAACACCCACAGAACGCATTTGTGGCTTATACTGCAACTATGCTGAGTAGGCCTTAGTTACAGTTTGGGGGAGAGAGCGTATTATCTGGCGTGGTCAACAATTTGAACCAGTCCAGCACGCTCAAGCCGTCGGCCACGATCATTTATTACTTCGTGTTAATTAGCAAAATAACCGATGGCTTCTAATTAGGTTAAACACCTTAGACATCGCGTTCCTTTCATTTGGAGTTATTACTTTATTTTCTCTCCAAACTTTTATCACCCTCTTTCTTTTTCTTTCTTTCTTTCTTTCTTTCTTTCTTTCTTTCTTTCTTTCTTTCTTTCTTTCTTTCTTTCTTTCTTTCCTTCCTTCCTTTTTTCTTTCTTTCTTTCTTCTCTGTCTTTCTTTCTTTCTATCTTTCTTTCTTTCTTTCTTTCTTTCCTTCCTTCCTTCCTTCCTTCCTTTTTTTTCTTTCTTTCTTTCTTTCTTTCTTTCTTTCTTTCCTTCCTTCCTTCCTTCCTTTTTTCTTTCTTTCTTTCTTTCTTTCTTTCTTTCTTTCTTTCTTTCTTTCCCTTTCATTGTGTATAATACTTTGCTTCAGAGTTTTCGCCCTCTTAAGCTAATTGCTACCTGCACACGAGTAGAAACAGGTGTTACATTGGGAATGTGTTCAATTATTTATTTATTTATTTCAATAATTTCTTTATATTTATTCATAAACTGATTTCATTTTCTCTTCCAAATTTAAAATAATATTAATATTTACATTATTCGGACTATTGTCCTCATCTTTGTCGCCATATTTATTAAAACGTTTCGGCTGTTATACTCTTCGGCCTTCTTCAGTATCTATCTATATTTCTGAAATGAGGTATTATGTACACTATTTACATTATTCAGACTATTGTCCTCATCTTTGTTGCCATATTTATTACAACGTTTCGCCCGTTGTACGCTCCGGCCTTCTTCAGGTGGTTGGAATGTCTCTTTGAACCCTTTATTTCGCTCACTGGGGTAGATTTTTCTAGTTCCACGTTCCATGTTAAATGGATATCAGATATACGTTATCTCCTGTTAATTCCCCTCTCCAAGTTCTCCGTTGTCTTAACCGGGTATTGAACTCACACTCTTTGGGTCCTCTCACTGGATCAACAGGAAATAACTGATAACTGAAATCCATTAAAAACATGGCACGTGGAACTAGAACAGCCTACCCCAGGGAACGAAATAAAGGGTTCAGTTCGACATTCCAGCTACCTGAAGAAGGCCGGAGCGTACAACACCCGAAACGTTGTAATAAATATGGCGACAAAGATGAGGACATTAGTCTGAATAATGTAAATAGTGTACATAAAACCTCAGCTCAGAAATATAGACAGATAATAATAATAATAACTCAGTAGTGGCTGGGTGTGTGTGAATCCTATTCAATGCCTCGAAAACCAAAGTAATGGCATTCCACCATCGTCGATCGTACCCAGAACTTTCACCAATACCCTTTTAGTACATTGCTTCAGAGTTTTCGCCCTCTTAAGCTAATTGCTATCTGAACACGAGTAGAAACAGGTGTTACATTGAGGATGTGTTCAATTATTTATTTATTGCAATAATTGCATTATATTTATTCATAAACTGATTTAAGAAAAGATAAAGAAAAGAAAAAAAAACTGTTTAACAATGTTAAAAAATATTTCAACATAATGTCTGTTTTCTTCAAGTTAATGTAAACAATTTTTGTTCAAATATAAAATTATGTAAATCTACAAAAATTTATAAGACTTTGTACAAACGTTGCTTGTCTTGTAATGAAAAACAAAATGGCTGTCCTGGTAATGAACGCGTCAAATCGAATGAAACGCCTCCAGCGTGATGTTATGCAGCTGAAAGTTGTTAATATAAGTGAAAATATATTGTTTTTATTGAAAAAGAATCAAACTAGCCTCGTTCTCATTTTTTCTTCTCATTATAATTAGTGTTCTCATTATCAAGGAAAATTTATTGAAACAAAGCAAGTTCAGTTGGCCACTGATGTCAATTCCAGAACAACGTAACTATAAACAATTTTTTCTATCCTCTGCCAGCTGCAATGATGGAGAAATCATTACCTCGAACCATGGCCAGTGAGACACGCTGCAAGAGCCACTCTGTTTCGCGAGGCTCGTCCGTTAATCGAGACGCAATCGCGCCAATCCTCCGAAGCAACGCCAACGAACGAGGGTCAATAAACCCAGAAGTCTCCACTGCCACAGGAGTAAAAAAAAAAAAATCTATCAGCAAGAGAAGAATATTTAACTATTTTTTCATCTCTTCGTCCCGAGCGACGGATCCTGGTTCACCTACGGAACTGATCAAATTGCCGACCGAAAATGTATCTGCACAGGTCGCATCCCAAATCAACGACTTCCTCATTTTAAAAGGGAAAATGGTAATGCCATCCGGCCGCTTTCCATCACCACGGTCGAAGCCTACGGGTTCGATTTGGGAAAGGAACCCAGTTGCATCCAAACCTCTTTTGATGATGTCGTTTATTGCTGCATGCTGTGGAAAGCGGCCGGCACTACGACGACAGGAGAGTGGATGCAAACCAAACTCATCGATGGAGGCTCCACATCTGCATCTGTGACACTCACATAATTTGAGTCCAAGACGGATCCCGACTCCGACCCGAGTGCACTCATCATCTAGAAGTGTACCGGTAGCTGAAGAGGGCATTGCGTTGAGCCAGGCGCCACTACTCGATTGTGAAGACAGGCGAGGCGATGCTGATCCAGAGAGAGCCTCAAGTTAGTAAAATTGGCCTTGCATTTTATTTTATCCTAACTTTTTTGTTTTGATGTTTCTAGTGGGAGAGAAAGTAATTCTTGGGTCGAGACGCTGCAAGCTTGTTCGAAAGAACTACCCGAGAAACACTGAGACGATCCACTTAATATAATGGTAATCTTGTTCATTTTGGAATATCCTTAAGGGGACATAAACTGAGCTTGCAAAACATTTTTCATTACAAAAGACTGTAAATTCGACAAACATGTTAAAATTCAGATTCTGAAAAAGTATTAAGAATCTATCTACCTGTCGACCCTTAAAACGAATGAAGATGGTTACGTAAGCAAATTAACTTCCCGGCCCAAGAGAATGACAGGAGAGTTCCAAAGCTGTTTGATTAATTCGTGCCATACGTCCGTCTCTCGCTGCGCCGGTCTCGTCCACTCGCAACCGACGAAAGCTGTTCGTGTAACAACCTTTGCTTTTTTCAGAAAGTCTCATACTAATAATCAATTAACGGTAAGTTCTAAGATGAACAAGATCATCATTATATTAAGTACGTCTTAAACTCCTGAAGTCCAGTAAGATATGTGGGCTCAATTATCTAGTTAAATAACTGTTAAATAATCAACTTGCTGTTGGCTACAAATGAGTGAAGTTTGTATTAGATTTCTTGAAAATTGAGGGAGTTTTTAGTTTAAAATTTGTGTTGAAATCGATTTGTGTTGATAATCGATTTGTGTTGATAATCGATTTGTGTTGATAATCGATTTTTCGTTTTTCGCTAAACGGCAGTGTTTCATTCGTTTTGACACGTTGATTACCAGTACATCCGTTTTCTCAAGTCAAGCGGCATTTGTACAAAGGCATATAATTTTTGTAGATAATTTTATATATTTTTATACAATTTTTAAATATAACTTGAAGATGACAGACATTCTAGATGAACAAGATCATCATTAGTACGTCTTAAACTCGGGAATTCCAGTAAGATATCTTAAAACTATGTTAGGCGAATGTCTTGGCATCTTTGCGGATAAGTTGGTTGTCGTAAATCATATTAATTAATCCTGCTTAACACTTTCTGGCTTGAGAAGAATGACAAGAGAGTTCCAAAAGATTTATATTAAGATGTTTGATTAATTCATCTTAGTAACTAATCAACTAAGGGAAAATTCCAAGATGACCAGGATGACCATCCAATTAATCATGTGTAAATTGCATGCCTTCACATTGGCGGCGTTTCATCCGTTTTGACTCTTCCAGCCGTTTTATTCAATACTAGCAGTAAAGCCCGGCGTTGCCCGGGGATGTAACAGTAAGAGATAGATCAAGTATCGACCATCATAAAGACTGAAAAATAAAATTGACAAAGATTATTGTTTAAGGTTGACGTACACGCATGTCTTAATTAGTTTTTATTATTATTATTTTTGATTAATTCAAAGAGAATGATAAAGGGAAAAGATTTTTATACAATTGTAATTGCTACTGTTTTTATTCATTTTCTAATACCCATTTTTTTTTGACGAATTGGTCAAACCCAAACTCAAACAAAACATTGTTTTCAATTGTTATGAGTCTACTGATTGAATAGAATTTTATTATAAACAATGAGTCTTATAAATGGAATTTTTAAAGCATTCTGAATGTAAAAATAAAGAAAAAAAAGTGTGCAAGACAATAAGAAACACTACCCGCCAAAAAAAAAAAGTGAAGTTTTGTTTAAATCGGTTGAGAAATGTAGGAAATCCGATCCTATATATAAACGAACACACACACACACACACACACACACACACACACACACACACACACACACACACACACACAACCTGGGTTTTATAATAAGTATAACTCGATATGAGTTGTCCCCCTTTCATTCTCGTGATGCCTCTTAATCGGGTTTCAAATTGATTTCGTGCAAAAACAATTGTGTTTATCCAATTTTTGGCGCTGTTAGAACCACCGCAAGGTAATTTTATGTAGTCCTGTGAAGTTTTGTTGAAATCGGTTGAAAAATGTAGGAAATCCGATCCAATATATAAACGAACAGACACACACACACACACACACACACACACACACACACACACACACACACACGCACACACAAAATCTGCGTTTTATAATAAGTAAGATAACTTAAAGAAGACATACATTCTGTCGAAATATTGTTTTGCATTGTCTTGTAATGAATTGACTTTATCAAACACTGTTTTACTTTTCTTTATCTTTTTTAAAATTGCGCTCAACTCATGACGGTTAAAAAAAAACAAACAAAAAAAAAAACGACCGGATCGTTCCATAAGATTTGTACTCTTAGTAACTAATCAACTAACGAATAATTCCAAGATGAACAACATCACCAACATATTAAGCAGGTTTTTTATTCATTTTCTAATACCCATATTTTTTATCCCTCCACCCTCCCTGAGAGAGAGAGAGAGAGAGAGAGAGAGAGAGAGAGAGACTTTTCGAGAAAAACAGTAAAATCGACCTGAAACGCTGCTCTGTGGCTAAATCGGTAAAAGCACGCCAGGCTATATGACGGTTCCGTATAGGATACAGGTTCGATTCCTGTCGGAGGACACATATTTTCTATGAAAATTTCTCGGACATTCAGGCCGGTAAATGTCGTTAATACTATTTATTATAAGCAGAACATTTACTTAAATATTTGTATGTATAAAAAGAACGTATAAACATAAAAAAATGTCTTAAGATAATTGTCGGACTTTGTCCATTTCATAATGTGTGACAATTGTAAATATTGAAATTTTAAGTCATGGGGTTTTTTTTTACTAGGGGCCTTGTGTGTGTATGTGTGTGTGTGAGAGAGAGAGAGAGGTATTTTATGTATGTAGGATTGAATGGTGACGGATATATTCTTATGGTGAATGAATAAATTGTAACGAATGAATGGGTGGCGAATCTGATGAGCAAGGTATAAGATAGTGTCCTATCTCCCTTGACCTATCTTGACCTATGACACTTGAAGAAAACTACTACTACTACTACTACTACTAATACACTTAGATAGACTGATCGATTCGTTTTCTACGGTCTATCAATCTTTTCAGGTTATTTAAAGCAGGGAAATATTTTAGATTATAAATTTTTTTTGAGATAATAAGTATTTAAGGGATAGTAGTCTTACTAATTAACCCATAGCTGGGGAGAGAAGAGGTGGATTCATACCTCATCAGAATTTAAACAAACAAGAAATTATAATGTGAATATCAAGTGGGGGATCAATTCAATATAAAAATCAATATATAAACTGATCTTTCACTTTGTGGTCACGGTAGTCCCTACACATTTATATTCCATAGAACGTAAATAAATCTAAAAGACATGCCTGCGAAGCTAATCAGTATTTGATTGATTCGTTTTTTACGGCTTATCAACCCTTTGCCGGTTATTTAAAGCCAGAAAATTTTTTTGGATTGTAAGATTTTTTTATGGGGGGTGGTTTAAATAATAATTGTTTAGTTACACGAGTCTTACATATTAACCCATACCTGGGTCATAACTTTCTCAAGGGTATTTGCGCGCAAGTGAATACAATGAAACCCAACTGGAATTTGAACCCGTCTCTTCGATTAACAATACCGAGCCATTATCCATTACACCACTCACACATCCAAGCATACAACACCTGGTATTCCCAAGCGGTCACCTATTCTAGGTACTGACCAGGCTCGACGTTGCTGAACTTCAGTGATCGTACGGGAAACGGTGTTTCAACCTAATGTGACCGTCCGTCTTCTTGCGTATAATACATTGCTTCACAGTTTTCGTCCTCTTAAGCTAATTGCTACCTGTACACGAGTAGAAACAGGTGTTACATTGGGAAAGTGTTCAATTATTTATTGACTAGCAGCATGTACCCGGCGTTGCCCGTGCTTGATTCAAAAATCGTACGACTCATACAGCAATCGCTATCACTTGACTTAAAATATTTTTGCCCTTCCTTGCCTTTAAAGGAGTGCCCTTGCCGTGCTGATGTTGCTACATGCCTTACTTCTTGCCTATCTCACACTGCGAATTTTTTCTAAGCTCTATACTAAACATTAAATCTGTTACGAAAAAAGAACTAAACAAAATGAACACAAAACGATCAGCTTTAAAAAAGGACTCGTAACTGGAAAAACCGAATGAAAAAAGAATGTTAACAACAAATACTTTTTCACACCCAACCCAGTTCTGCAGAATCAGAATCAACGTTGAGTTTAAGCAAGCGAATGAGCCAATTGGAGTAAAGTGCCATGCAGATTTAAATTTTTCCCACTTGCGATGAATGCAGCTATCGATTTTTTTGCATGTTAGTTAATATTCATGTCAGTCAGCTGTTGGCTCTCACGCTGGCCAATAGAATCTTCCTGCCTATTTGTGGCAGCCAGCTATAGGCTCTCACTCTGGCCAGTAGAAAATGGCCGCAAACTACATGAAAACTGCCGTAGAAGCATGAAAAAAATCGATTATTTCAAATGCAAAGTCGGTCTTGGCCTTCCCGCTAACTTGGAGCATGTGCATGTAAATTTTGGTGCAAATCCGTCGAAAAAATGCGGCCGTGCATTCGTTACACACACACACACACACACACACACACACACACACACACACACACACACACACACACACACACACACACATCCTTCCTTTTATAGATAAAGATTGCGATAATTACATTTATTCTTAAACTGATTTCATTTTCTGTTCCAAATTTAAAACACTACTACTACTACTAATAATAACAATAACAAACAAAATGATTGACGTGACTCTTCCAATATTTTTCAACATTTAAGAGAAGAGCGTGATTTTAGAAAAATATAAAAAACACAATGTTTGACAATGTTAAACAATATTTCAACAGAATGCCTGTCTTCTTCAAGTTATATTTAAACACATTTTTCAACCTAAAATGTCCACTGTAAAATGCTGGTCACTGGAGCTGCCCTGAAAAACATCTAAAAGAAAGATGAATGAACCAATTATGACGTCTGAATAGAAAAGTTTTCGCAAATGTGTGTAGAGCAGTCTAAATAAACAGAAACAGTTCTCTCAAAGAGGAGAGTAACAAAACAAGGGTAGATCACTCTTGTTTATTCATAACAAATAGTTAAGGGAAAAGTGCGATTTAAGAAAAGAAAAAAGAAAAGAAAAAACAGTGTTTGATAATGTTAAACAATGTTTCTTCAAGTTATATTTAAAAAATTTTTTCAAGTACAAAAAGATATAAATCTATAAAAAATTACAAAGCTGTGTACAAACGTTGCTTGTCTTGTAACGAAAAGGCAACGAGATTCTCGTGCCAAGCCTCTTCATACTTTGCATATATAATCTGCCTAAGAGTATCCTCCGCCCGATCATTTGTGAATATCTATGCCGATAGCACAATGGTATACGGGTGCACCTCCAAAACTTGAGATGACCAGAGCTTGGAAGCTGATCTCTCTTCTGACCGAGTTCTAACAGCTCGGTGGGGAGGGTGGTGCTGGTGAGTCTTATTCAATGCCTTGAAAGACTAGTGGCATTCCATCATTGTCGATCGGACCCAGAACTTTCACCAATCTTCTTTCATTGTGTATAATACAATGCTTCACAGTTCTCGCCCTCTTACACTAATTGCTACCTGGACACGAGTAGAAGCATGTGTTACATTGGGAATGTGTTCAATTATTTATCCATTGCGGTGATTACATTATATTTATTCATAAACTGATTTATTTCCCTTACGCAATTTGAAGAAATAATTATTATCAACTAGAAAAACCCGTGAAAACTTCTCGATTTTTCTTAATTAAATTTTCTGATGAATGTTCTTCAGTTAATGAATGAATAAGCTTATGGCAGGTTCTATGACAATAAAATATCCGGAGAAATGCCTATCGTTAAATATCTGAAAGCAAAGAAAGAAAGAAAGAAAGAAAGTAGGAGAACGAAGAAAATGAAAGCACAGAAATAAAGAAAGAAAGAACGTGAATGTACTGAAAGAAAGAAAGAAAGGGCGATTGAGAGCGAAGAAAATGAAGGCAAAGAAAGAAAGGAAAAAGAAATGTTCGTCATTTCTTTCTTTCTTTCTTTCTTTCTTTCTTTCTTTCTTTCTTTTCTTTCTTTCTTTGCCTTCATTTAAGAACGAAGAATAAGAAAAGCATAGAAAGAAAGAAAGAAAGAAAGAAAGAAGGAAAGAAAGAAAGAAAGAAAGAATGAAAGGACAAAGGAAACCGAAGAAAGTGAAAACACGGAAAGAAAGAAAGAAAGAAAGAAAGGACGAAAAAAAAAGTATGAACATAGAATTCCCATAAACTACATGAAGAATATGGCGCCCACAATCCTCATCCTATATACTCCCTAAGGAGTAAGGGATCACAGCTCTCAAATTCCGTAAACTCCCTGAAGAGAATGATGTCCGACGATTCTTGTCCAGTAGATTCACTGATGAGTATTGTCATGACATGAGTAACCTTCCATGGATAGCCAGTTACTTTCTGGAATAAAAGAGGTCGCTTCGTTTGACAGCAAAGCGTTACCTCCCTTGTAAGCTTAACATGTCTTCTTGTTTTCTCTTGTTCTTTACTCTTATTTCTAATAACGAATACCATAAGTATGTGGTCACAGTTCTTAAGTCCTTTAGACTTCTTCTGAGGAATTTGAGGAAATATAATTAATAAAAACTAGAACGACACGTCAAAATTTCACGGTTTTCCTATTTAAATTTTCTAATGAATATTAATTCTCCAGTTAATGATTGAATAAGCTCATGGCGAGTTCTACGACAATAAAATATCCGTAGAAATTCCCTTAACGCATCGTTGAATAATTGAGCTTAACAACTTCAACAAAATAGTGCACTAACAATCACAATTCAACTATATGGCTTAGCAGAGAGACAGACCTCAGTAAGCGTAATCCGAATGTAACTAGAAATAAAGAAAGATGCCTTTCAGAAACTGAGGAAAGTATTATGAAATATGAAAATTGCCTTAACAACTAAGAAAAGAAAGAAAGAAAGAAAAAAGAAAGAAAAAAAAGAAAGAAACTAACAAACAAACAAAGACGGGAAGGACGAACGAGAATGAAGAAAGTGAAAGCATGACGCCATAAAAGTAATGAGAAGTACAACGAACCGTGAAAATTTCACGATTTTCCTCTTTGAATATTCTAAGTAATCTTAATTATTTAGTTTATGTCTGAATGCAGCTCATGGCGATGTCTATGACAATAAAAGATCCGTAAAAATTTATTTATCACATCGTTAAAATATTTGAGTTTCAAAACTTTGACAAAATATTGCAATAACAATCCTAAATATGAATGCGGGTCATTATTTTAAGAAGTGGGTACAAATGAAAAGATTTAAAATTAACAACTTTTTCTATTTCACTGAAACAGACGTTAAAGACTTCCATCTTTCTTTCTTTCTATCTTTCTTTCTATCTTTCTTTCTTTCTTTCTATCTTTCTTTTTTTCTTTCTTTCTTTCTTTCTTTCATTTTTTCACTGAAACCAAATCGAGTCTTTTGTTGTTCTACGCAGTCAAAACTGAAAAGTCCATTATTTATTAACTATTGTTATCTTCCTTTCATCGTTTGTTTGTTTGCTTCTTTCTTTCAAGCCAAATCCTCATCTTAAGAACATTTTTCTTAATAATAATAATTTTGAAATAATCCGGAAGTCGCTGTTATTTTGTTTATGGTAACTGCATTTTTGGCGATTGTCTTATTCGGTTTCCGTCATTCCATCTTGTGCGTCTGAAAAATAACACTTTTATGGCGGTTGCCATCGATTCTCGGCCTTTTGCCTCGGCAATTAGTTAGAGATTCGCCTCCAGCTTAGCTAGTCGAACTCTCTTCCTTTGGGCGGAGAGGAACCCAGATGAGGCTATGCCAAAGGGCAGAGTCACGTCTGGGGGTGGTAGACAGCTACCCGACCCCGTTTTTACGGGGTCTACGGGGAATGTTTGCCCGAGCCTACGGGCTCGGTTTTACCCCGCATTAAATAACGGCCTTGTGCCACATCCTGCCTCGCAGGGTGGTGAGGTAAATAACCTTTTGTCCAAGATCAAAGTGTAGTATCTGTCATTATCAGCGTTATCTGATTCTCTCTCTCCATTTTCTTTTCTTTTCTTTCTTTCTTTTTCTCACTGAAACCAAGTAGTGTCTTTTCTCCTCTTTCCACGTGATCAAAACGGAATAGTTCATTATTTATGAGGTATTGGCAGGGCGTAACGATCGTGCGAACTAACGAAGGGAAGGACATGAACAATAATAATAATAATAATAATAATACAACACAGAGAAGAGCGCGATTTAATAAAAAGTAAAGGAAAGACAAACTGTTTAACAAAGTTTAACAATATTTCGACAGTATATCTGTCTTCAAGTTATGTTTAAAATTGTACACAAGTATAAAAAATATTTTTAAAAATTCGTTTCTTTGTACAAACATCGCTTGTCCCGAGAAAAACGGCTATACTTGTCATCAAAGCCTCATAACAAAATGAAACGCAGCTGTTATTTTGACGAACATCTTAAGGTGCATTTTCTGAAAAAATCTCCAGTGTATACCGTCCTTTCGGCACTTAAAACGTATGAGGATAATTCCATATGCAAATTATTAACTTCCCATTTCGGGGGAATGAAAAGAATGGCGGGAGAGTTCAATAGAATTTATTGTAAACAAATTGAGTAATTGCACTTACTAACTAACGGAAAATTTCAAGATGAGCGCGTCCCTATCATGTTACTCACCTTACA